ATTCCTCCCTATTTACAAAGATTTTGTTCCTATTTTTCCATTTTCTCATATTAATCCCATTCCCTTCTATCCTTTCCCCTAGCCCTCCTACTGGGGTCTACTTATTTTTGAGATCTTTATATATTCCAGATACTAGTCCTCTCCCCAAAGAGTAGCTGGCAAAAATGTATCACATTCTGTAGGCTGTCTCTTCACTCTGTGGTTTCCATTGCTGTGCAGCAACTTTTTAGTTTGATACGATCCCATTATTGATTTTCAGTGTTATCTCTTGTGTGATTGGGGTTCTGTTCGGAAAGCCCTTGCCTATGCCTATTTTTCAAGAGTTTACCAAATTTATCTTCCAGTAAATTCAGTATTTCTGTTTTCACATCTAGATCTTTGATCCATTTTGATTTGATTTTAGTACAGGGTGAGAGAGATTGGTCTAGATGTATTCTTCTGCTCATGGACAAGCAGCTTTCCCAGCATGATTTGTTAAAGAAGCTATCTTTTCTCAAGCATATGTTTGTAGAGCTTTTGTCAAAAATCAGATGGCTAGTGGTGCATGAGGACGTTTCTATGTCTTCTATTTCATTCCATTCTATTTACATGTGTGTTTTGTGCTAGTACCATTCTGTTTTTCTCCTTCTAACTTTAGAGTACAACTTGAAATGCAGGATTTTAATACCATTTTGATTGGAATTACATTAAATCTATGTATCATTTTCCATTTTGACAAAATTGAGTCTGCCTATCCAGGAACAGGGAATGTCTTTCCGTTTTCTAGTGTCCTCTTCAATGTCTTTTTTCAGAGCACTATAGGTTTTACTATAGAGGTCTTTCACTTCTTTTTTTAGGTTAATTCCTAGTTATTTGATTGTTTTGAAGCTACAGTGAGTGGGATTGTTCTCTTGACTACTTTCATGGTGGATTCATTCAGTTTTGGTGTACAGGAATGCTATTTTTTGTGCGTGTTAGTTTCGCATCCTGCCAATTTATTGAATTTGTTTTTTAGTTTTAAGAAATTTCTGGTGGAGTTTTTTGGGTCTTCAATGTAAAGGATCATACCATCTGCAAATAAGGGTAGTTTCTTACTCATATCCTTTTTATTTCTTTTCCTTGCCTAATTACTGTAGCTAAAGTCTCAATACTGTATTCAACAGGAATAGTTAGAGTGGACATCCTTGTCTTGTTCCTGATTTTAATGGGAAACCTTTTAGTGTGTCTCCATATAGTGTGATGTAGTGGGTTTGTCATAAATGTCTTTCATCGATTTAAGCTGCAGTCTTTTTATTTATTTTCATCAGTGATTTTATCAGGAATGGATATTTGATTTTGTCAAGGGCTTTTTCTGAGTCTATTGAGATGATCATGTAAGTTTCATCTTTACTTCTGTTTATGTGGTGTGTTATATTTATGGATTTACCTGTATTGGACCATCCTTGCATTCCTGGGATGAAGTCAACTTGGTCATGATGTATGATCTTTTAATGATTTGTAGCATTGTATTTGCACATATCTTCTTGAGGATTTTTTCATCTATGTTCATCAAGGAAATTGACGTGTAGTTAATTTGTTTGTTTGTATTTTGGGGGGTTTGGGGGGGGGTTGGTTCTTCTGTTGTGGTTACGTCTTTGTCTGGTTTTAGTATCAGCTAATGAGGAATTCAAATAAGTTTGGCAGTGTTCTTTCTTGTTCAATTTTGTGAACAGTTTAAGGAATATTAGCATTATTTCTTCCCTGAAGTTCTGGTAAAATTCAATGGTGAATCCATTGGGTCCTGAGATTTTCTTATGTTTCTTTATAGGTTTTTATTACTACCTCTGTCTTATTGCCTGTTATTAGTCTATTCAAGGATTTTACTTTTTAAAAATTTATTTATTTGTTTGTTTGTTTATTTATGTATTTATTTATTTATGTATGTATGTATTTATTTATTTATTTTTGGTACTGGGGATCAAACTCAGGTCCTTGCACTTGCAAGGCAGGTGACAGAACCACTGAGCTAAATCCCCAGCCCTGTTCAAGGTTTTTATATCATCCTAGTTCAGTGTTGGTAAGTTGTGTGTGTCTGAATTTAACTATTTCCTCTAGATTCTCTGATTTATTGTAATGTGTTTATGAAACAGTTTCTTATAATCCTCTGGATTCTGGAAGTGTCTATCATGATTTCATCTTTTTTTCCTTTCAGTTGTTTTTGATGTGGGCATTTACAGATATGAACTTCT